AGTCATGCAGAATCCAGTTATAAAACTGCAACAGACTGCTGTTATTATTCCGAGTTGCTCCTTCTGTAGCATGTCCGTCATGCATAGCCCTCTTCATCCGCTGGCTCAACAGCTGAGATCTGTTTTAATCATCACTCGCTTGTTTCACCGTTGGGGTCCTCGTCTTCGATCTTCTTGTCAAGGGTTGCGCTACCAAGAACTTAGAACTTCCGTCGTCATCGCTCTCTGAGTCATTGTACTACGCAAGTCCCTCCACCATGACAGGAGCGACCATCAAAGGTACGCACATGGAAACATACACGCATAAACATACATATGTATTTTAAACTGGATGTCGGAGTAAAATGTTCGTCATTAAATGTTACTTTAATGACAATAATAGAAACAAAATAAATAAGAAAAGAAAGATATAAAGCGGATGATGACTTCAACAGATCTCAGTGGTTGAACCAGCGAATGAAGGGGGCTACGCATGGCAGACATGTTACAGAAGACGTCATTTCAAATTATAACAGAGTCAGCAGCAGTCCGTTGCGGTTTCATATGTGGATTCTGCATGTCTCATTCCATATGTACCACAGGTCATGTGATCAAGTGGGTTACTTTCAGGCAAGTTGCGGTCCACCTTAAACGAATTCACGCCATCAGTATATTCTTCTACTCTGATTTTCTTTCATCTCCAACCAAATCTTGCAAATCAAAATGGCGATAAGGAATGAATGACGGGAGTAGGTTTTGGAGAACCTGGAACCTTTTAGCCATGAGCCTGCATGTTGGCGGAGTATTTAGTCATCAACGCCATAATCATATAAGAAGTGATCAGCAAAGAAGAAATTACATTCCTGAATACGAGATAAAGCTGACAATTTAAACTAATCGTCTTAAGAGTCGTTTCTCCGATGGATAAAGGGCCAGGCAGATAGGATTCCTCTCGGGAGGCACATTTTGATAAATAGGATCTTTTGGCTGGTTCCCTATTTAACTAATTGAGATGCCAACTCAAACACATATACCTATTAAATATAATGCTTATAGTAAGAAGAAATATATCTATTTATCTATATTTATGGGGAAGCATTCACGATATCGTGTAAAGAATACATGATGATACCGTATAGATACAGATATCAGTCCTGTATGATGACAGGCACTTTCCCGCCTTGAACGATGACCATGTTTGATGATTATTTTTATGCGTGAAATCATAACTCATTCATTTCTACGTCAATTCTCTCCCCCTCCTTCTCTACATATATATATATATATATATATATATATATATATATATATATATATATATATATATATATATATATAGTTTCCTTATATGGAAATATTAGGCATTCATTAACATAACAACCAGTGCTACTGTTGCATGAAATTGATAGAATCTTTCTATTAAAATAATTTTTTTAGGAAAGTAACTTTCACAAGTACACTGTTATTACTCTTTCCGGTATGGATGGAGGCTTCCTTTCCTAACATCTTTTTTGAATATTGTGGAAAATCAATTATTCTTTATTATGTAATTATTTTCTCTTCGAGTTACATGTGCAACCCATTTTCGTTGTTGCTGCAGTTGAAAGTCTTTAAGTAATGTTGTTTCTATTTACACTATTTACAGTGTCCGGACTGTTGTCCTCATCTTTACTATGGCATTCACGACGTTCCAACCGTTCTGCCGAACGCTTTATTTAGTCCACAGGGATAGATTGTTCTAATTCCACATACAATGTCTGGATATCTCAGTTTTAGTTAATTCGCTTTGATAACTCTCCAAGATTTTGCTCTCTACCCTGAGGTCAAGGATTGAATTCATAACTCTTTTATCAAGTCACTTTTTGGATCGTGAAAATAATAAAAGATGCTCCCATCCAATTCAAGCAGATGGTGAGTCTGGACGTGGTGACTTTTTTCATCAAGGTACCTATAGATGAGGTAGTGTCAGTTTTCAGGGATGGACTGGCCTTGGACTCATCTTCAGGAGAACGTACCACTATGCTAATAGATAACCTGATGGAGATACTGATCTTTTGTACACAAACAACATCGGAATGGATTCAGTCATATATTGACAGGTTGAAGGCTTAGCGATGGGTTCGCCATTATAACCAGCAATGACTAACATATACATGGAATACTCTGATGAAATTACATTAGAATCACTAAAGCCAACTCTATGGCTGAGATACGTAGATGCCACCTCTTCGGGTCCAGTCACTGAAAGATGCCTAGCTGCTACTGGACCATGTGAACTTAATAAGACCATCGATACAGTTCACAATAGAGAAAGAAAACGACAAGAAAATAGCATTCCTAGATGTACTATTATCTCGAACAGCTCATAGGTTCAAGACATCCAGACAATACCTCAACTTCGGCTCCCACCACCCATATGAAAGTGACCGTCCGCTGTCTACAACATCGAATAAAAGTCGTAAGGGGCGACCCAGAGACATATGAACAAGAAATGGTCAATATAAACAATACGCTACAACGTAAAAACTACCCGGGTAACAACTTCCACAAACTGGACTAAAAGGATACAAGATGAAAACAACACTCAGAAAACAGTCATAGTCTGCCTACCCTATGTGAAGGACTTATTGGCAAAGATACAAAAGATTTGTGGTCCTTATGACATCAGAACAATCTTCTGCAGGAGTTTAACTGTGTGTACTTCATCCCGTGTAGGTGCAAGAAATATAAAAGAGAAACATACCGACCACTTAAGATAAAACTACAGGAACACCGTAAGGCCATAGCACATATAGAGAGAAAAAGGAGATCACCGCCCTCTGTGGGATGAAGTTGAATTAATAGACAGAGAGCGTCACTATATATATATATATATATATATATATATGTGTGTGTGTGTGTGTGTGTTTGGTATAGTTTATTTTACGGCATATCAACCTCAATGCCAACAAATTTTTATTGCTGGTAATATGTTTTTCTTCAAAAATCTATTTCTGGGAATATTTTCCTTGAAGAAATCTATAGCTGGTAATATTTTTTTCAAAGACTGTATAGCTGTTTGTATTGCTGGTAATTTTTTTTTAAGTATTGCTGATAATAATTTTTTCTTTAAAAATTATTGCTTGTAATATTTTTTATTACAAAGTATTTCTGGTATTAAAACCCCTTTTTTACACAAGTTTGGGTGTTAACTATTTGTCCATAGATGGGACCATAACAGGTGCTACCACCCCGGGTCAGGGTGAACTTGGAAACACCAGCAATTAAGAGGTAGTTCCACGCTCCTCAAAATCTCCTGATCAGAGGCCTCGCTGCTGGACGTAGTTTATCGTCTTACCCAGGACGCGGATGTAGTTTATTATCATACCCAGGACGGGTGTGTGTGTGTGTGTGTGTGTGTGTGTGTGTGTGTGTGTGTACTTCCAAAAAAGCGATAGTTTAAAAAGCATTTATATAAAAATGAAAAATCTTTCTTGAAGCTTTTATTTTAATCTTAATTTCAAGCTAATAGATTTAATGAAATATTTCCAATAAATAAAATACTTTCAAAACGAATTTAAATTGATTGGAGGCATTTTTTCTGATCATCAGCAAAATCTATAAAATCATGCATGTTAACGAATTTGTGAACATTATATAATTCTCTCTTTAAAAAAAAATCTTTCAAAAATAAAATATAATTTTCTGAAACGTTATTTATGAAAAAATAGCTGATTTAAAGTTTAATTAACCTGAATTGAAACAAATATTACTTTTAGTTGCAAATATCGCAGAAATATGTTCTTTTAACACGGAGGTTGGTGTTTTTATGTGTTAACAGATTTATCGACAACTTCATTGATGTTTCTGAAATTTAATTAAGTAGGAGATAATTGCAACGTAAACACTTTTTTAAATATAATTTTTAACTACCCAGTATTCTTAAAAGTTTTAAATATCTTATATATTTTAATATTTTATTTAATTTCATGTACTTTGGCTTTATAGTTTTAATTACAAAGAGAAAATAAATTTTAAATTTTCGCATTTATTTTCTGATGTTGTGTACGGACGTCTGTATTGGCACGTTTCTACATACACACAAAAAATTCAAAATTCTTTTTAAAAAGATTTTGTTACGTTTTATTTAATAACCGTATCATTTGATCGTTACAAATTAATACAACATTTTAAAAGATTTAAATCTATAAATTATTCTAAGTAAAAAAAAGAAAAGAAAACAAAACAGTTCTTATAAGAATTCATTAATCATTGAAATTTTTTCTTAAGACAATAGTGTCCATAATATATTTTATTCATAAAAGCAATTAAAAGCTTTTCTAATTAAATAATGTCTTAATTTTATTGCATTTTTATTTTACGATTCAGTACAGATTTTCCTTAACTGGGGGACCTGTTTGACCAAAGAAATTTGATGAATCAAATACTTCAAGGACTTTTTCTTATAACTAATATAAGCATTAAGAGTTGCAAAAAAAGAATTTCTCGAAATTTCATAAAATTAAATATGTGGTGGGGGCGGTAAAAGATGTAAAAAATGTTTTACTAAGATTTTCTAATAAAACGTTTGAAAATAATTTAATTCATTCGTGAATAAGACATGAAAATTTCCTTAAAATCGGACAATTATGTTTATGAAGTTTATATGAAGCTAACACCAGGCATAATATATGGAGAGTCGGATTCCCAATGATGATCGACATCCTTCGATATTAGTGAGGGTTTGCTAAATTACATTACTAGTCATTACTTAATTAAGAAGAAACATTTATATATGTAGTTAAACCTACACGAAACCTAATAAAGAAAAACGTATTTATATTACACAACAAATATTTATTTTTCAAAATAAAATTCTTTGTCAATGCACTTAATTTAGTAGTGATTATCAATTATATACCTAGAGCATTATATAGCGAAAAAATTCAGTTCGAAATTCAGGTAAGACTGCATTAGGCTGCGAATTTATTCATCTATTCTGGGAGTATATTTTTGCAAACTTTTCAGCTTAATTTTCTTGTTTAAGAGATAGATAGATAGATAGATAGATAGATAGATAGAGAGAGAGAGAGATTTTGTGTATTTTTGAGTATTGACTGACGATTAGTGATAGGGCACTGATAATAACTTGTTAAGTATTCGTCCTCCTCTGACTAAATTGATGAGACGTCTTTTGAACTTAGCACACATACTTGATGCTGCTAATAGGCTCTTGTAATAAACCATCCTAACTTTTTCATCATGGGATAATGATTAACAAGGCTAATCTGATTGGCCATTACTACCGAGTAGTGAGTTTGATCCTCACTGTGTGCCCTATACAAAATTCAACATTAAATAAACCAATAAAGGTTGATACGTCATAAAATCAATCAGCGTAATTAAAAAAAAAAGCACACTGGTGTGGAATAATGGTTAACGAGGATAGTCTCGTTGACGATTACTGCAGATAAGTTAATTTGATCGTCATTGGGTACCCCATACAAAATTCAGCATTAAATAAGCCAACAAGTTTTGATATGTTATAAAATCAACCCACCTAACCTTTTCATTGTGGTGTGATGATTGTACACAGCTTTCATAAGAAATTATCAAAGAATTTTATGGGCTAGTTTTTTGCAAGAAGACAGAATGTATGATCGTCAGCAAAAGGAAGAACCCAAGATGCGAACTACGAATTGAAGACATCAAAATTTAGGAATTAAATTTAAATATCTTGGAAGTATTTTAACAGAGGAGGGAAATTGCGACAACGAAACTCGAAGGAGCATTGGAATAGTGAAAGATGCCTTCCAAAACCTAAGCAAAATATTAAGAAACAGGAAAATTTCATTTGAAAGAAAGAAAAGTGTACTGAACTGTTATGAAATACCGGTCCTCCTATATAGCAGTGAATACTGGACAATCCCCTCACAGATGAAGAAGAGGTTCAAAGGAACAGAAATGTGGTTCTACAGAAGGATGTTGAGAATACCATGGACTGAACATGTGAGTAACGACGAAGTTTTAGAGAAAATTGAAACAAAAAGGACACTTGGAATCACAAAAAATAACTGAAGTATCTAGGACATGTAATGAAGAAAGAGGGCTTGGAGAAGTTGACATTCACAGAGCATATTAAAAGCAAGAGAGACAGAGAAAAGTAGCGAATAACATACCTAAAAGCTTGTGTAAATGGTTAGTAGAATAAGGATTAGGAGATGTAGCAAAAAGACAAACCTTACTAAGAACTACAAAAGATAGGATGTTGTTGAGAGTCATGATCACCCACGTCCCGAAGTGACGCAACACACAGAAGAAGAATCTCTTTTTATTCATAGTGAAAAAAAATACTTGTGAACTCTATATATGTTATCTATTAACAAGTAGAAACCGATCCTCTAACATTCTCTAAATTCTTTGAGATATCTCTTTTAGATACGGCACGAGTTAGTCTAGCGTAGACCCAGATACGTTTCTTTTGTCAGGCACAAAACATACCAGAAAAAATTTACTACACGGAATCTTATTATAAATAATGTTAGTTGCACTTCGAATTCGGCCTTTTTATGTTACTTTCAGTTTATATTAGCACTTTTAGCCCGCGAATTATTATTTTGATATATTTTTCTTTAATTAGCTTGTGGATTGGGGATTGTAAACCTATTTTTAAAATAGATGTCACTTTTTAAAAAAATTCTATATTCAGAAACGAACGACGAAGTAACGTAAAATTAATTATCACAAATATTAATTCACCCCAATAAATTATAAATTTGAAATCAAAATTTGTTGAGCTTGCCTCGCAACAACTCCAACCATCAGAATGAAAAATTACCAAAAATCAGGGAGTTATTCACATTTCGTAAGTGCGGAGGATATTCGAGGTACTTATAAGGAATTTTTACAATTTAAAAAAGGAAAAGAAAAAAAACTGTTTTGGACTTGTACGTTGGGGGTAAACGCGAACGTAGACCCCACACTTAGAAATAGCGCACCCAAGTCATCCAAATTTGTGGTGATTATTTTGGGGTGAATTCATATTTTGGGAGTGAATTAACAGAAAAGATCCGGTTGATTTTGTTTAGCGGCATATCAACACCTCTATGGGTTATTTAATGCCGAAATCTAAATATTTCCAACACTTTTATGGCTTCAATATATGTTGAACCCAATTGTATGCCTTTAACTACATATATTTTGGACATAATTTTATACATTCAGAGTAACCGTATGTTTTATAGATATATAGTATGTGCATAATATGTTGTAGGTATTATAAGTCTTGGTATAAAACTATTTCTTTAACGTAGGATATTATATTAACGGTTTCAGTATTTTCAAATATTAACATCACGTTGGTTGGTTGTATTTGTTTAGCTGTAATAATGTTGAAATCTAAATATTTTATATACAGTTTTTCTCTTGGGATAATAATGGTTTTAGTGATACAAGTCTTACTAATTAACCCATAGATGGGGGAGAAGAGGTGGATACATATATTTTCCAATGGTATTTGCGCGTAAGTAAATATAAATGAACTCAGCTGGAATTGGAACTCGGCCCTCCGATTAACAGTTCTGAGGTATTATCCATTTTCCTCCCCTCACATCCAAGTTTATATCACTTGTTATTCCCAAGCGGTCACCCATCTAGGCACTGGCCAGGCCCGACGTTGCTTAACTTCGGTGAGTCGTACGGGAATCGGTGTTTCAACGTAAGTCATTAACATCAGGAAGAGACATTTAAAATTTATAGGATACACAATGAGGAAATATGGCTTGGAAAATTTGATACTCACAGGACAGCTTGTGGACAAGAGGACATAGGGAAAAAAACGCTTAATCTACCTAGAGAGCTTGAGTAAAAGGATGGAGGAGAAGGATTTAGGAGAGATAACAAAAAGACATAATTTATTAAGAACTACAAATGACAGGAAATTCATGATTGCCTACATCTTGAAGGGACACGGCACGTAGAAGAAGAATTGTTTGAAAAGTGTCTTTGTTTTTGTTTAAAGCTAACTTCAATTGAGTTGAAGACAGTGATTCAAGCCAACAACGTGTAACAGCATATTAGAAAAGATGATCAATAAATTTAATAGGCATAAAATATCTATACTTTTTAATAACACATACACACACACACAAACACACACAAACATATATATATATATTAAAGAAAAACAAAAATCATTGGTGGAACCAACGGACAACTTACCAAAACCTAAAACTCTTATCCAGATAAAGTTTCGAACAAAAATGACAATACTGAAAAAAGAAAAAGAAAAAGGCCTAGAGGCAAACTTATCAACTCAGTAAAGTGTTTGAAGCCTAGATTGCCTAGACAGAGCAAAAAACAAAAACAAACAAAAAACAAAAAAACAAAACAAAAAAAGCTTAACGACGTTAAAACCTATGAAAGGATGGCCATAGTCGTAACACGGGTTTCACGCTCACGTGATCTTCAGGTGACTTGAACGACTTAACTTTAATATATATATTCCGAAGTGTATGTTCTGCTATCAGCTTATATCTATATACAGTGTCTTTGAGACTCCAAGTATTTTCTTTAAATATCTACATACAGTCAGTGTTTAATTTAATCTGAGGTGTCATTTGAACGTTAATAGTGGCGTATCTGACTCTTATGCAGAAATCAATCCTTCCAATTGCATGGAAAAAGATTTTAAGTTCTTTTCGAAGATCTCCCTGCACTTCATGGAAGAGAGCGTACGTTTGTTTAATTTTTTAAAAAATCATTTCACCCCAAGCAAAGCAATAATGCCACGAGAACGCAGGGGGGTTACAGGAAGTGAAAGTGAAAGAGAATGAGAAGACTGTGAATAGGAAGGATTGAGGAAAGGACTAAGAAAGGAACAGGGTTCAAGAAGACAGAAGATAGCGATTGACGTTGGATTTAAATATTTGAAGAGTGTAGTTATCAGAGAATCAAGAAATCAGAAGGGAGTTCCGCAGGTGGGAAGTGCGAGAAAAGAAACTGCTTGTGTAGAAATGACGGTTGCATCTTGCTAGTTCAACAGTAAAACAATGAGACCTATTTTCCAATCTAGTAGCACGCTTCAATTCATGTAGTCTGGGAATCAGGGGAATAAAAGCTTATTAGAGCAGTTGCCATGGAAACATATGTAGAAAAAACAGAGGAAAACCACGTTATCCGAGTACCGAGATTTAAGAAAGTCAAAATGTTCTCAATTCACAAAGTCTTCAGAAGATTGACGTGACAGCCTTTCTTTTCTAATTTCTTTTATATTAAATATAAAAAAAATATCCCAGGCATTTTGTAAGATTATGAATAACGAATAGAATAAGTATTCTTGGCAAATACGCATATGTAAAGACAGTTCCACAACAACAGTGATTCATTCATTGTATTAAAAAAAAAGTCATGAGTAATTCTCATTATATATTGTTTTGATTTTCACATGATTCACTCCGTGTGTCGACAAGTCAACAAAGGTGAGTAACAAGCAAATGGTGTATGTGGCATGTGACGGGTATTGTAAAATTCATAGCAGCAAGCAATCGACAATTTCTTTAAGAAAACTTGACACAACGTTTTACAGACGAGCAGTAATATCACTTGAAAGGCTTTCGACCGATAGGATTTTAAAAATGATCCTTGAAGTCATCGAGTTTAGTGGTTTTATTTTATTGTACCAGGACACGGGGTAAAATAGAAGACGAAAAACTCTGACATTGAAACTATTTACCTGTAAAAAAATAGTCACTTTGTATAAAGGTGTTCGCAATTAAATGTAATTGGAAAAAAGTGCTAAATTAAAAATGCGAAATACTATTCAAAAGAAAACACCAGCGAACATGAATGAAAACTTTCATCGTACACGTTTCCAAAAGCTATATTGAATTGCTTAACGTCAGAAAATCTAGATATGAAAAAAAATCCATTTATTTTACTTACCATGAAACTAATACAGAAGATATTACAAAAGATTCTTTTTCATCATTGCGTTCATAACAAAAAACAAAAAAATGTTAGAACAAAAAGAGTTTTATTGATCGATTGTTCTACTACAGGTTACAACGAGTAAGCTTATGGATATCTGAAATGAAAGAAATTTAAATGCTTTCATGAATTTGGAGATTAGCGCCTTAAATTTTGCAGAATGCTTACGGATTTGGGCAGATTCATCTTCATATATATTTTGGCTTAAACTAGGGGAAGCATTGGTGATAGGAAATTTTAAAGTCTTTTTTAAAATTTTTTATTGCAATTGATATAGTTACTCAATTTCTCACGGGGGCCAGAGTTTGGTGATGGACTCCTGATAAAAAGCCAATATTTCGAATGCTCTTTTTTAAGCACAGGTGTTTTGCAATAGAGATTGGCTAGCCGCCCTAGTAAACAACCATTCTCAGATACGACCAGCCATTATCATTATTATTATTATTATTATTATTATTATTATTGCTATTATTATATATTTCGTATAATTTATAACTTCAGAGAATAAGAAATCGAGAATATGCTACTTTTTAAAGTGATAATCTTCCATGGGGTTGAACTCTGAAATGCACTATAAACGATACATTGTCGGTTTGAAGAGATGATAAACTAATTCCTGGCGTACTTTCCTACCATTCAACTTTGGTTCTACGTTGGATGGTCGACTCAGCGGTGAAATACGTAATTACTTTCTGAACACTTAATACATCGACTCAGTCCTTCCTCTAAATAATACGTATCATTGATTACCCATTACGCTGGTTTCTTTTAACCTACAAATAATGTGTATACATTTATGTAATTTTATACGATTGAGCCACATTTTTCTTGTGGCATGGACACACATGACAAAAGAAAAACTATCCTTAAAAAAATAGGAGAGTTGAAATTGATAAAGGAAAGCATATATATCGCATGAAATATTTGTGCTTCCTAAAATATCTTAAAATCTCTTGCTTTTCAATGTTCTGCTGTTTATTCTGATTCTTTTTGTCAAGTATAAATTTGTTTGCATTTAGGCACATATATATATATATATATATATATATATATATATATATATATATATATATATATATATATATATATGTGTGTGTGTGTGTGTGTGTATAAAATCCCTTTTGGGGCACTTCAACATGGTTAGAAAACTTGTATCACAAAAATCAATTACGACAGAGTAGCGAATTCAATCCTCACTAGGTGCCTCATACCTTCGGCCTTGTGTCTCATCTAAGCTATGCTTAGAAAATAACCAGGGCACTTCGACGTGATGTAATAGCAAGCTTGTCTCGCTTGATTACGACTGAGTAGTGAGTTCGATCCTCACTGGGTGTCCAATGTTTTCGGCCTTGTGCCACATCTAAGCTACGCTTAGAAATTCACCAGGGTACTTCTACGTGGTGCAAAAAGCTTGTCTCGCTATATTACGGCTGAGTAGTGCGTGAACTGATTTGCAAATAAACAACTTATACAGACAGTAGTGTCGACTACCGTATTTACTCGAGTATAGTGCGAGATTTTATGATCAGTTTTTTTACACGCTATACACAGCTACTTTATTTTTGAAGAGGTTAAGAATCATACATTTTCGACGACCGGTGGACTCTCCCGTCGTATTCGACGTATGAGGGTCAAGCAGGTCAGTTCCTAGGAACCGACAGCCATACACCAGCACATATGATTTGATTATAATATAACTTTTTGAGGGGCTGAATACAGAGACCTGGTGCACTACGTGTCACAAGTTCCCCAAACGACCCTCCGCAGGTTTTGAATTCAGAGTTGTCCTTCCCCTGGACCAGTTGCAATACAAGGCTATAGAACCCAGTCTATCCTGCTATTTACCCATAGCTGGAGGGAGAAGAATAAGATTAATACCTTTTCCCAAAGGTATTAGCACGTAAATGAATATAATGGATTCCTCAATCCAAGCCGCTATCAACTACTCTACCGTGCCCCCTCTCTTTCCCTCTCTCTCTCTCTCTCTCTCTCTCTCTCTCTATATATATATATATATATATATATATATATATATATATATATTAGAATGGGCAGCTTATATTTTATATCATAAAGAATCAATTTATACAAAGAATTAAATAGCAATGTGAATAATGGCGAAATCACTTCGCTAACAGAAATTAATAATACATTAACTTACTATTAATTGTTTGAATAATAAGATCTTTATATTCGAGTTGTTGTCAGATGGAAGACGCATGCCTAGTATTTTTGACAGTTTCAAATTGTCATCTTCAGGGGGCAATTTTTCCATTCTGTAGAAAACTACTAACACATTTTTACTCTACTAATTGGATTATATTAAGTCCATTTCACTTTAACAGATAAATACATATAACAAGAAAATTTCGTGGATTTATAACTTTTCAAATTAAAACAAAATTCGCACTTGATCGATTCGAACAAGAATTCCAGCGTCGCGGCATCTCAAACTCCAAAACATAAGTATAATTTACAAAAAAAAAAAAACAAAACATCTTTTGGTCTACACATATTCCGTCTTAGTGCTTGCCTATGTATTGGAAAATTTCGCCCTGAAGATGACAATTTCAAATTCTCGAATATATATATATATATATATATATATATATATATATATATATATATATATATATATGTATATATATATATATATATATATATATATATATATATATATATATATATATATCTTAAGAACTAGGGTCTATGTATGCAAATCATGCAATGCTTGCCTTATCTTTTTCCCAGGTTAAATAATTTTTGAGTAATATAAAATTAATTATAGATAATTTTCACTATCCTTATTGTTTACTTAGAACGGAAGAAAAAGCAGTAAATTAATTGCTTTCCTGTTACATTACCTCTGAGCAGTGAGCATGAAAAAAAAAAAAAAAGAAAAATGGGAGGTCAACGAGAGAAAGGTAGAAAAAAGCAGACTTTTTGCTGGATGAACTGCAGCGGTAATATTTCTCTCAACATATTTTCTCCTGGAACTTTTATTACCCCGTACTTAGATGCACTGGGTAATAAAAACAGCAGTTCTTTAAGACTTGCCTATTCAAAGATCTTAAAACTATCCTCGTAGACTCGAACATATTTAAACGAGAAATAGATATTTAGTTTGTTTTATTGCTGATTCTGGTCTATTTCGTAAGCTTATTCGTTACTGAAGAGTATATACGGAACGTCTGGCGACTCTAATATCACATCCAAAGCTATATTTTTACTGCTTTTTAAAAAGATTTAACCCATGGAAAATATTCTTGATCTCTTCTTAAAACCTGGATTCAGTCATGTGATAAATAACCAGAATTTTCCTCTTGACCATTTCACACTTGGAATGAAAAGGCGCAACCGGTAAAGTTTATTTTTTGTGATTAAAAAGGTAAAGTGTTTATCCATTTATCAATTAAAATGCTCTAGAATTTAATTTTAAATATTTAAAATTATTTTAAAAAAATGTTACGCAAGAAGTAAACTAGTACCTACATTTTTGTTAGAATAAATCTTCCAAAAAATATAATCCCGTAACATTTTTACGTTTTCATTCACTCGCAAGATGGTAAAAGAGTCAATTAACTCAATGTCAACTCTACTTTCCTGACCTTTTGCAACAAGAAGCTTTGAAAACACGAGAGAAACCAAAGATTGAACTGAAAATCAAAACGAAAGTGGGCAGCAAGGAATGTCATTGTTATTTTGATTCCAAATATTATGGACAGTATGAGCGGATGACGGGATGTCCTTTTCTGAACAAATTGTTCTATTTCTCATGTCTATTATTTTATCAAAAGAAGAACATGAAAAACCGCCGGTTAATACAATTTAAACAATTAGATTACAGCTTTGACAAGGCATAAACATCTCAGAACCTTCTGAATTCCGTAATTACCTTGAAACCTTTGGCCGACAACGAATTGATACAGCGATCGATCACTGGATAGCATCTTCGATCAGTCGAGAGAAATCGTGATATATTGAAAAGATTAATTCATTGTATTGAAATTTTGGCCCGTCAAGAATGATCATTCCGAGGACAAGATGACACAGAAAAATCAAACAATAAGGATCAATTTCTGACTATATGCGAAGCAGTAGCAGAATACGATTATGTTTAAGATTAAATTTTGCGCTTAGATTCCGTAAAGAAAAATGCCAATTGCGCATTTTCAACTGATATTCAAAAGGAGATCATTAACTGCTATAACAGAAGGCGAAATTAAGGCTACGATCGAAAAAAAAAATTTATTGCTGTCATATTCGATGATACTACAGATCGAATGAAATATCAATTGTCACGAGATGTAGCGCCCAGAAGGAGGAGCAGAGAGGGTGATGGCTCAAGGCATCCATATCAGGAGGGCATCCAATCAAAGAGTTAAATAAAAATTAAGTCTATATTTAATTTGAATAAAGTGTTTATTTCATGTTTCATCAGTTTTTATATGTTTAACATGTCTTTCTTTCTCACGTTTCTTAGTACTAGGCCCTATAACCCTTCCTCAACTACTTGAGTCTTAGCGGCATACAATCAAGGAGTTGGCACCGGGCATAACCAAACATTTGCACGTCACTAGTCACAAGTTTTACGATTTGTTGATGGGAAGGAAAAATCTCAAGAAAGTTTTTTTCTTTTTCTTTTCTTTTTTTGGATATGTCATTGTCAGTCAAGATAGAAGAGATGCATCGCTGATAGAAGTTTGAAAATTTGTTAATAAATTTAAACTGTAGCCAAAAATGAATCGTACAAACTTATGATGGAACGAGCGTGATGGCTGGACATTTGAACAGAGTGTAAGCAAGTATAATGAGATATTTTGGTGCGAACATCATATTTATACATTGTTATGTACATTCACTTAATTTGCTACACTCTCAAGTAGCTTCAAATATTCGTGAATGTCAAATTTTCTTTCAAACTTTAAAAGCAATTTCAGCTTTTTTTATCAAAGTCGTCAGCTTGAATACTTCTACTAGATGAAATCGTTGGAAAGTGATTTTTAAAGTTATATGAGACTCGTTTGAATTATTCATCTCGACAAGTATCTTCAAATGATTGGAATGTTTCAGAATTAGCACAGGCAAAGGGATTCGTTGCAGTCCTAGAATATTTTCAGTTTAAATTTTTTTTAGTGGTTCTTGAAACTATATTGAGAGGCCCAGCGATTCTGTTTTCGATTCTTAAAAGACGTTCACTTGATATTTCCAGATTAATTTATTAGGTTGAGAACTAAAAAAAAAAACGATTGATATCAAGAACAACTATTTTGAAGAATTTTACTTCAGGGTTCTGGATGGTACCGCTGAACCACAAGAGAAGCGAGGTCGACATCAAGAACCAGAAGCTGTTTTAAGAACTTTGTTTAACAGCATTTGGATGAAATTATTGTTCACGTTAAGCAAAAATTTAACACAATGGGCAAATTTAGGTGTGTTGAATTATTGAATCTAAAGCATTTTCACGCTTAAGAAAAATATTCTAATGGGAACGTTTTCATTTTTTTCATGTCTATAAAAACATATTGTATTTGGATGGATTGAAATTTTTTTAAGTATTTCACCCCAAGTAAGGCAGGAGTGCCACTAGCACGCAAGGGGTTACAGAGAGTGGAAGCAAGAGTAAAGAGGCGTGATAGAGGAAAGGATGAAGAGAAGGACGGGAAATAGATCAAGGCATCTGGAGATGTCGATTGACATTGCGTTTGAATATTTGGAGATTATAGCTATCAGAGAAACAAGTAAGAGGAAGGGAGTTCCACAGACAGGAAGTGCGAGACATGAAGCCATTGGAGTTGAAGAGACGGCTACATTTAACCGTTTCGACAGTGAAAGTGTGGGACTGAGATGCCAACCTAGTAGCACGTTTAAATTCATGCAGTTTGGGAACTAGCGAAAGTAGCTCGTCGGAGCAGTTACCGTCAAAGTATGTGTAGAAAAGACAGAGGGAAGCGACAGCACGTCTGTGAGAGAGCGACTATAAACGAGATACCAAATCACGGCCAATCACATTGTATATCAATCTCTGGATTTTGTCGAGGACTTTAAGACGAACAGCAGGGAGTCCAGAGCATATATGGCATCAGTATTCCATGAAAGGGCGAATGGTTGATTTATAGATTTTAAGGATGAACTCAGGCGAGAAGAACTTTCTGGTGCGGCAAAGAGAACCAACTTTCCTTGCAGTAGATGAAGCTATTGATTCAATGTATTTGTTCCATCTCAGGTTAGCGGACCGAGTGAGATCAAGCAGTCGCAGAGAGGTGCTCTCGTGGAGATGAGCACCAGACATTGTAATGGGAGGCAGGGAGGGTTCTCTGTGGTGGGTAAAAGAGAGCAGTTTTCTTTTTGAGGCATTAACCAGCCATTTCTTACCCCAGTCAACAAGAGATTGGAGGTCCTTTTCTAGACCAACGGCCAGGTTAGTTTTGTCATTGAGGCAAGAGTAAATAGTAGTGTCATCTGATGAGATCGGGGAGATCGTTAATGAAGACCAGAAATAGTGTAGGGCCCAGGATAGAGCCTTGAGGGACACCTGCGTTCGTAAGAAAGGAACTGGAAGAGAATCTGTTAAGGACGAGCTTCATTACAGGGTTTGACGGGAATAATTGTATTAAGTCAAATAATCATCCTGAAATTCTGTATCCGTGAAGCTTACGAAGAAAACCGGCATGCCAAACCCTATCAAACGCTTTAGGGATATCTAGAGCCACGAGCTTCTCCGTTATTGTGAAGTGCTTGGTAAACAAATTCAGTTATGGTCGTGAGCACATATTGGGCAAAGAGGAAACCATATTGCTTGTCAGAGAGGGGATCATGGGTTGTACGATGCTTAACCACTTCAAAGACTTTGGAAGACTTCAAAGACTTTGATGTGGCAGGTAGTCTGATTCTGACCATACCTGCCACATCTTCTTCCCACAAGAGAGCGTTTTCTTCATCAAAGCGAGTAAATAATTATAAGAGGTGTTCTCAGCGTGAAGATAGATTGACCAGTTTGGTCTTAATTTCTATGAATAGAGATTTTTTGGAGCAGATGAAGATAGAGCATAGTGCTGATAACGTTTTATAGTAAAGTGATAGATTAATTGTCTAAAAAAGAAATGAAGAATCGAACCGATTTACAAATAAATTTTAAATATCTCATTATTTGTAGGTTTTTATTATTTTTTCAGTTTATTTTTTAATCAATAACGGTCATCATTGCAGGTAAGTATCCAAGAAATTACTAATGGAGAGACATAAATTCCAGTCTAGAAGGGTATCAAGACCGAATCGTGGCGTGTTTCTCACATTAAAATTAGATCGTATCATATTCGCAGATAGGGTACAAGAGATTATCCGGGGTAGAAATGTAAAGCTCCACCACTTCACTTCCCCACTCTTCGTGTTGGCGATTGGCCTGAATCATGGGCTGCATATACTGGTTTCAAAGTCACCCTTCACCATTCCATATATATATATATATATATATATATATATATATATATATATATATATAAAAACAGACCACTTTAAGGTACCATTACAATAATTTATTTCACCAAAATCCTTTTTGAAGGACTAGTCCTTCAAAAGGATTTTTGAAATAAATTATTGTAATGGTACCTTAAAGTGGTCTGTTTTTTCATTAAATATTAGCTCTGGATTCACATTGAGCTCTCAGGATTTCATCCGCCTTGGAATTACCCATTCGGTTTACCAAGTTCTTCGTAACTTAATATATATATATATATATATATATATATATATATATATATGTTCAATTTTCAATTTTGTATTTTGTATTGAAAAAAATTAAAATTGATATATGAAGTAAAATATTCGCCTAATTTAGACAGCGTGACTGAACTGAAAGATATTTGTTGCTACCATTTGTAAGCAGTACCCTTTGGATCACTGGATTCCATGTTCAAAGGAACGACTTCGAACAAAACAATTGAAACTAGGTCTAAGAGTAAGTTTAATTATTTTTTTACCTGGTAAAATTCCCCAAAAGTTAGAGGAACACTCATATGAGTCCTTAAAACTGTCATTATTAAAAATATTAAGAAAAAAATGGATGAAAAAAGATGTTTAGGTTTACTGTAAAGTTTTATTTCTCTATTTGAAATTATTTTTATTTTCTCTACATAATACTCTCTTTGTCATTCTTTTTCATAGAGATTAAAAAAAAAACATTTGATAGTATTTATATTTGAATAGATGCTTCGATAAACTAGACTTGTAAGTTTTTTCGTTCTTTCTGGCAAACTAAAACCAGATATGAAATTAAAAAAAAAGAGATTGCTTAAGCTTCATTTGAAATATTAAAATATTGCGAACTGACTAGCCGTAACGAGTATGTGTCTTTGTAAAAGTCTGTTGTATCCGCCTTTAGATACGCTGAGGTCATACGTTCGCCTTGGCTGCTTTTGCACGACCTCTTCTTGTTCACGCTACATTGACTGAAGCAGATAGCTTTCCAAAATCTGAAATGTCTTCTACCTTTTGTTAAAATCCCTCCAGACATAACATTCTTTATTCAGTTGTTTCTCTCGTTCATTTTCTGGTCAGTTGTCCAAAAAATTTTTATACACGATTCAGAAATATCTTTGAAAAAAGGGAAAAAGAATAAGCAACGTTGCACAAATGTGTGAACAATATATACTGTAGACTTAATTTGCTGCCGTAAAAGTCTCAAACTGTTAACATTGTTTAACCCTGTCGTATGTCGATGGAAATAATTGTTCCAAATCAACTTTGCCTTTATCCCCAGAATTCGAAGTTTGTCATCAGTTAATAAAAAATGCTCTAAATCTCAAATTTTAAAGTTGGTGTGTAGGCAAATAGAACACGAGGAAGACTAGTAGTACGCAAAATCTGCAATACCCAACAGGTATAATAGTATATGTTATAGGAAATAAATTCTATTTCCAACACAATTACATACCACGTACATAACATATGAAAACACGCCCAGACTTTATTTTCTACCCAACAACAGGCAGTATATATAAACATGCCAAAAAGATTACACAATACAGCACACACCGTTTAAATCAAAGTGTCTGTCGATTAGAAATTAACATCATGTGAAATATTTGACCAATCGGAGAAAACTAAAACCCTATTTTTCTCGTGCCTACTTTTGGGAGAAATTTCTTATAAAACCCCACAGATTTCGGGTCCCAGCAGCAGCGTGTGCTGAAAGAATCATGTGTCAGCGACTTCAAGCGAATCATCTCCAAGAATAACAACTCGGACGGTCAGTGAATCTTCGCTGACGATGAAAGTCTTTTGAAACTACAGTTGTGTTTTTTTACTTTCTGTGGACCAACTACTCAAAGAGATTAATTCAACTAAAGGCTATTTTTACTCCTTTTTGACTTTTTGAATCACTTTAAACGTTATTTTTAGTGGATATTCGTATTTGAGTAGGAGTTTTGTTTATTTACTAAAATAATATTTATTTCTTTTCGTCTACCGGCCTGAATATGCGAGAAATCTTATTAACGAAAAATTTGCGTTCTCCGGCAGGAATCGAACCTACATCCCTCAGGGCAAAGGGAGCTACCGTTTAGTCCGGTACGCCTTATCGACTTGGCCACGGAAAACAGTCAAACAAGCGATTCCAGCGAGTGATTTATAACAGGAGAAATTTCGCTTGAAAGCATGAAATTTGTTCTCGTTCGACCGACTCCTCTCCAGTATTGGCGCGTAAGTGAATATAACGGACTCGATTAGAATTGTTACTCGGCTCTCCGATTTCCAAGTCATTATCTATAAATCAGCCGCACATCAAAGTTTACAGCACCTGGAATTCCCAAGTAACCACCCACGTAATTTTTGACCAGGCTCGACGTTGCTCAACTTAGGTGATCGTACGAGAACCGGTGTTTCAACGTGATATATTTGTAAACTGACAGAAAAAGGAAGAATACACGAATACTAAAACTATTTATATAGTGATTTTCTAAGTGTCGCTTAGATGTGGCACAAGGCCGAAAACATGAGGCACACAGTGAGGATCGAACACAGTACTCAGTCGTAACAGATCTAGCAAGACAATATTTCTAACCATTACACTACGTCGAGGTGTCCTATTTTCTAAGCGTCGCTTAGATGTGGCACAAGGCCGAAAGTCGAGGGCACCCAGTGAGGATCGAACTCACTATACAGTCATAATTGTTCTAGCGAGACAAGCTTGCTAACCATTACACCACGCCAAGATGCCCCCTAAAACTATTTATATATGTACTGTAGAAGCTACCGAGCAACAGGTTGAGATTGAAAACTTTCGATGTGATTGAATTCAAGATTTTCAAATGGAATACATTTCAAACGAGTTGCATAATTTAAGAAAATATGCTTGTATGTACACAGATAGCTGGAAAGAAGGAATACATAGAATACAAGGGGAGTTGTAAATGTGTTTATGTGTGTGTGTGTGTGTGTGCATGTCAATGAGAGAGAGAGAGAGAGAGAGAGAGAGAGAGAGAAAGAGAAATGCATGCGCATGTGTGAGTTTAAGATTAATACCGGGGGAAAGTGATTTTCCTCAGCAGAGACAGGGCTCGTGTTGACTCTGCAACATTACGGAGCAAAATATTGCAAAGGCAAAGAGAAAGAGAGAGAAAGAGAGAGAAAGAGAGAGAGAGAGAGAGAGAGTGGAGGGAAAACTTTGCAACATTACGGAGCAAAAGATTGCGAGAGAGAGATAGGGGAAAGGGATGGAGAGAGAGAAGGAGAGAGAGAGAAGGAGAGAGAGGGTGGTTATTTTTCTGGTCCTTTTATAGTCCTGAACAGCGCCACATAATGGGCATTTTTAGCAGCATGTTAATCTTGAACGCTGACATAGTGAGTGCGATTGTGAGTAGCTACCTCAATGTTATAGCTCTTTCAAAAAGTAAACTCAGCGTATTCGATGGATGTGTGCATAGCATAGCAGTTATCATCGGGGAGGAAATGGGGGTGGCGAGCCGATTCCAGATTCCAGCTGTTGCGTTCGCTTTCACACGAATAACCTTGCAAATCTATGACTTCATCTTTTCTTCGCCCGCTCCTTAGCTAGAGTTGAACTGTAGGCCAGGCAGAGATTTCTAACTTTGGTTGGCAACCAGTCTAGGAGAAATACAACTATCGAAATCAGTTGCAACTCCACCCTGTAAGCACCTGCTTGCTATAGAAATTGCAACAGCAACACTTAGCCTGGTGAGATTATGCTCCTATATCCTACAAGGGTGTTAACAGGGTTAACAACACGCTTGGTAAGTAATTATTTGTTAGTTGGAGTCAGTTCAGCAGGTTTGTAAAACGTGTCAGGATGCGTAAAAAGACCTGTTTCTATTTCACATGTTAGTTTCTTTCGAAAAACTTTTTTTTTTCTTCTTGTGCAATGTTACTTCGACCCGGTTTCGCTCGACTGCATTTGTCTAACGCTCGACTGCCTTGAATAGCTATTTCTCAAATATCTTTTTGACTGCTCTCTGAAAACAACTCTCTTTTTCTTTTCATCTACATTTCCATTACTTATTTCAAATTTCTCATTTAGTATTTATATATGTATTATAATAAACGAGTTTCACAAAAGAACCATCATGATATTAATTTCTCTTTTATAATTTTTATTTTTAGACAGTAACTTTTTAAGTTGTAATACCTTCTGATTTGCTAACCTACAGAACAAGTTCGCTTTAGAGAAATTCGTAATTACAACACGCTCTATTTAAAAAAAAGGCATGGCGGCCGTCATGAAGTCATAAAGGTTACTTTTAATTTTTTTCAGGATTCTTTTTTTAATGTTAGCTTTCTTAGACATTATTAAAATGACGACACACACATTTCTATCTATCTATCTATCTATCTATCTATCTATCTATCTATCTATCTACACACACACACACACACATATATATATATGTGTGTATATATGTGTGTGCGTGTGCGTGTGTGTATGTATTCAGTCGTATGGATATGAGTTTGTATCAAACTCATAGATATACGACTGAATATGTTAACTCTATCACTGATATCGAGGGCTTTACAATAAGTACCGCGTATATATAATATATAGAGAAATTACACACACACACACATATATATGCGTGTGTGTGTACTCAGTCATATAAATATGTTAACTGATATTGAGCAATTTCCAATAAGTACTGCGCATATATATATATATATATATATATACGCTGGTGTACCAAAAGATAAATGATAAAGGTAATGGTAGGTAGCTTCATCATATCTTGCTGTCATAGAAATGCCCAGACCTATATCAGAATGGGATTTGATAGCTGGTGGATCAGTAGGAACAGCATTTAGGTTGCGCATACAAAAGTGGCTTGGTGTTCGAACGGAGCATGAGGATAGATACTAGACGGAAAGGTCACTCCATTTTTGCAACTGCGAGGAAATTTGGCAGCCCTCGATCTCTGGAACTGCATGTGTACCTAGAATACCTGATTGAACGTATACTCCCCACTTCAGACAAAGCAGCGACTGACCACATGTTCTTAAAAATCGTTACCAATTTGGCGAGACAATGCGACACAGAGCAAATCCAATGCGCATTCAAATTCAGGAGCTAGCAGACTCTTACCTAGAAAGTCAGTTCAGCGTTCTCCAGTTTCCACGAGAACATTGCATAAATTGTCTCATTTGAATTCGGGACATGGTTAATTGCTCGAGTGATTTGTTTTTTACGGCTTATCAATCTTCTGTAGGTTATTCAAAGTCAGAAAATATTCACTATTTACATGATTCGGACTATTGTCCTCATATTTGTTGTCATATTTATCACAACGATTCGGCCGTTGTACGCTCCGGCCTTCTTCAGGTGGTTGGAAAATCGAGCTGAACCCTTTATTTCGCTCGCTTGGGTAGACTGTTCTAGTTCCACGTGCCATGTCTAATGGATGTCAGTTATCAGTTCTGATAATTCACCTCTCCAAGTTCTCCACTGCCCTAACCAGGTATTGAACTCACAACACTTTGGGTCCTGTCACTGGATCTAACCACCGCCTTTATCCACTTAAGGACACATGGCACATTGAGTTCAGTGTCTGGTTAAGGCAGTGGAGAACTTGGAGAGGTGATTTAACAGGAGATAACTGATATCCATTAGACATGGCACGTGGAACTAGGAACAGTTCACTCCCAGCGAGCGAAATAAAGGGTTCATTTCGACATTCCAACCACCTGAAGAAGGCCGGAGCTTTACAAAGGCCAAAACGTTGTGATAAATATGGCAACAAAGATGAGGACAATAGTCCGAATAATGTAAATAATGTACATTATACCTCATCTCAGAAATATAGACAGATCAGAAAATATTTTATTAGATTGTTATAATTATTTTGAGATATTAATGATTTACTGACACAGATCCTACCAATTAACCAATAGATGGGGAGGGGAGAAGAAGTGGATTCATATCTTCCCCAAGGATATTTATGCGTCAGTAAATATAACAAACCTGACTAGAAGTAGAACTCGTCTCTCTGATTTCCATTTCCAAGCTGCTATACATTACACCATCCGCACCTCCAAGTCCACAGCACTTGATATTCTCAAGCAGTCACCTAGATACTGACCAAGCTCGACTTTGCTTGACGTCGGTGATCGTACGAGAACCGGTCTTTCAATGTGATATGTCTGTAAGCCCGGAGATGGCTAATAATAAGGGCGTGGCAGAAATACCTCTTTTAAACTATCACCTGTGTCGTACAAGAAAACTTAGGCAAGTGGCAATGGTGACTTTATCTAGCTTATGTCGTATCATTTTTTTCATATACCATCATGGCTTGAACCTGTGCACACCGTGTATTTGATGTTGAAACGTTTTTTTTTAAGACAGGTGAATCTGTAATTGCAACACAGATCACATTTCGTGCTCATTTCATGTTACGTCGGAATGATGCTGTTCCGGATAGAAAATCGATACTGCTATGGGTCAAAAATTTCATGGCCACAGATTCAGTGCTTAAAAGAAAAAAAAATCTGGAAATCCTGGAAGCTCTCGAACTTTTGGGTGATGGAAATCTTCAGAAATTGTTTGCAACAGTGTATGACGAATAGAAACTACCATTTGGAGGATTTCAGTTTAAAACCCAAATGAATAAAAACTGTAGTCCTTTGTTTGAATAATAGTCTTGAAAATCCTCTTTTGTAGTTCCACTCTTTAAGAACTCAGGTAAACCGTCTGATCCTTCTAACCATCAGTCTATTAGTGTTCTGCCGCTTTTTTGGCAAAGTACTCGATGCGCTAATTAACTCTGAATTGCTTAATCATCTCACATTGCAAGGTCTTCTTTCAGATAAGCAATATGGCTTTCTTTTCTTTAGGTCAATTGCTGATATTTTAACGATTATAGCTGAAAGAGTCTATCAAGAAATTTAGATAAGGATGGTAAAGCACAGGCTGTTGCTATGGAGATCTCGATAGCATTTGATACCGGCCTTCTTCACAAGTTGAAAGGTTATGGTATTTCTGTACAAATGGCTAGATGTAGCCGTAAGTTCTATGCTAACACTTTCTTCTATTGTATTTCTTCATAGTGGAATTTACTTCCGGTGTCTTGCTTCCCAGTCAACTTAGATCTTCAAAAATGTAAATGCAATGTCAATCATTATCTCCTGTCTTCTTGATTCTTTTATCGTTCTCTCTCCTTAATATTATTTTTCTCATACTTTCTAACAATCATTTGCCTCTTGCGTCTTAGTTGCTTTATTACCTTACTTGGGGTGAAAAGATTAAAAAAAAGAAATAAATTTTTAATAGCAGCTAACTTGATCTTTTTGTCAACATTTAAAATGTGGTAGGTATTTCTGCCGCAGCATGTATAAATAGAAAAAGAAAATACCCATAAAAATAGCATGTACAAAAATATACATATAACATACAGTAAATACCATACAGGAAATACCTCTATCAATATAGATGTATTATACAGTAAATGCACAGATTGATATGTATATATAATATACAGTAAATAACCACATAAATGTACATATTTATACACATCAGACAAAATGGAAAATTTTTTCATTGACAACTTGTTTTGTCTTCGTTAGTAAGTTAAGTAGGCGTTTTCAGGTCAGAACTATATAATATATCCCACTAACATGCATATAATATACAGTAAATAGCCATATAAATATACTTATAATATAAATATAATATAGTGTAAATATTCACATAAATATGCATATGATATAAATATTCATGCAATATGAATATACAAAAGAATTCACAGAAAATACCTAAATAAATATATATTTAATACCTAATATATAAATAAGTATAATATATAAATATATCTAATATATATATATATATATATATATATATATATATATATATATATATATATATATATAATTCATATATAAATATAAATACAATATATAGTAAATACCCATTAAAATATAGATATACACATATATATAAGCATTTCAGATATAACTAAAATATGTCTGTAAAAGGACAATATGAATGAAGAAAAAAAACGCGTTTCGTCCTCTGATGGACTTTATGAAGGCAAATGTAATGATTTTATTTTGCAACAAGTATTTATAAAAGTAAACGTAAAAATGATATCCTTTCGACATATTTAAATTTAAGAATCCTAAAGTAATTTGACCCAAATAATGGCACACTTATTAAAAAAGAAAGCAAATTTCTTAGACGGGAAATTTTTGAGAGTGCTACTATTGAATTTTATCAAAATATAAAGCTAGGCCCCGAATTTTTTTAAATATCTCCGTTCACACAAAC